ACCCCAAAACACCTAAAAAAAAAAAAACAAAAAAAAAAAAAATAAATATATATATATATATATATATATATATATATATATAATGAAACTGTCACTGAAAGCAATGTGTTTGGTCACATCCAGTAAAACAGACAATATTTGGAAGACCTGCATAATTCAGTAAATCAATAAATTCCAAATGGCCAATGGGTGCTGCTATAAAAGATGCATGGGCCAAAGATCCATCTAATACACAGTTAACATTTTGGTATAACAGAAAGGGAAAAGTGTATTGACATGAACTTAAAAATCTACATCACAGTTTTGTTTAATTACCAGTGGAAGGATTTTGGAGTAGTATCAAGGATTAGCCTCAGTTATCTGAAAGAACCATTTTAATCTGCAGATAGATAGATAGATAGATAGATAGATAGATAGATAGGCAATATATGTATATCTAAGCTATCTAGTCACTGAAGCAGATTTTCTCCATGCCTCTACAGCACACCCCAAAACACACAGACTGGAAGCAAAAATGAGAGTGCAGCTATTGTTAGTAACCATATATTAAGGAGACTCTCAAATATAAAACAATATTTCTATCTATTTGGGGAGAGATGGTTTTATTTCATTAAACATACATTAATATGTAATGGCTTCTCATTATTAGATAATTAAGTAACAAATATTCCATGTATTTCTCCAATTCTAACTTCTTTTTTAAAAGACTTTATTTTTGTTTTATGTGCATGAGTATTTCTCATGCATACATATCTGTTCATCACTTGCACACCTGATGAAGGTTGGATTCCCATGGAAACGGAGTTACAGCCAGTGGTGATCCACACCATGGTGAGCACTGGGACTCAGACCCAGTTCCTCTGGAAGAGCTGCTGGTGCTCCTAACTACTGAGCCAGCTCTCTAGCCTTCCAGTTCCAACTCCTAATATAGTGAACACTGACAGATTTCATCTACATAATAAAAGGCTTTGTAGATCTCAAGAAAAATTATAAAGAATCACCAAATGAGAGAAAAGGGGGAAAGCTGGGATACTAAGACCCCATTACTGCATAACCTCCAGCATACCTTTTGTGGTGGCTTGAATGAAAATGGCCCCCATAGGCTTATTGGGGTGGCACTTTTAGGAAGTGTGATCTTGTTGGAGTAGGTGTGGCCTTGTTGGAGGTAGCGTGTCACTGGGGGTGGGCTTTGAGGTTTCAGAAGTTCGAGCCCAGTCTTCTCTCTTCCTGCTGCCTGCCCATCCAGATGTAGACTGTCAGCTACCTCTCCAGCACCATGTCTGCCTGTGTGCTGCCATGCTTCCCAACATGATGATAATGGACTAAACCACTGAAACAGTAAGCAAGCCCCAACTAAATGTTTTCCTTTATAAGAGTTGTCATGGTTCTGATATTTCTTCACCGCAATAAAATCCTAACACATCTTTCTTCCCCTTTTTGACCTCAAATAGTGCTGATAATTTAAACTGTTTGTATTTATTTTAACGTGTGTGTGTGTGTGTGTGTGTGTGTGTGTGTGTGTGTGTGTAGCCCATACCACATCACATCTGAAGAGGTCTGAGGACAGACAACTTTATGTCATCAGTTCTTTCTCCCCACCTTTAAGTGGGTTCTGGGGATCAGCCTCAGGCAGTCAGTTTTTCCCAGCAAGTGCCTAACCCTCTCTGGGCATCTCTCTGGCCCTGTTGTTGCTAATTTAAACATGAACAATTTACACTAGTATTCTCTACAGAACAATGCATTATTCTTGTGGACATGTGATCTAAAAGCCTCTACTGGGACAAAACTCCTTCATAATCAAATATCCAATTGAGTGGCAATAGACTGGAGCCAGCCACATCACATTCTAGCATCACTCAGGCTCTCTGCATTTCCAAGGTCTCATGTTTTATGTTTACAGTTGCCATTTTTATAACTCTCCCAAGATGCTGTAGAAGGTATTCACTAGCAAGTGAAATGTGTTAAATTTTCTGTGTGGTTTTCTATTTCAGATTTCGTGCAGAGCTCAGTCTACACATTCCAGGGCAAAGCAAAGACATTGGGATTTTCATTAACTGGTCTGGAGGAATCAAGCTATTTCTGTGTCAATCTTTGTGATTTTAAACCAAGTGATAGGATGGCCTTTTACTCTGCTGTCACCTCCATAAACCTTCCAGGACATAGAAACTGGAGGATGAGACCCTCTGTTCGTGTAAAATTCTGGCTTGTTCTTGTCTTTAAAACTTTGGTTTGGGCTTTAGGACACTCAAATTGTGGTATTTATAAATATGGCCACTAACTTTTGCTTAGGCATCAGGCAGCAAAGGAGTCTAGGGTTTGTGCCCCTTTGTAAGTACACACCAGGCTGCTGGCTCAGAAAGGAGCTGTGTGATTAATAGCTTTATAAAGCAAGAAAGTGGCTGACACTCCTTTTAAGTAAAGGTTACTTTTGTTATTTTTAGTTATGTGCGTGTGTTTACCTATGTGAAGGCCAGTGGAGGGTCTGTGCAGGTGCCTAAGGAAGCCAGAAACATCAGATTCCCCTGGAGCTGGAATTACAGCTAATTGTGAGCTGCCCAAGGTGGATGCTGGGAACCGAACTTAGGTCCTCTGGAGGAGCAGCAAGCCCTCTTAACCACTGCCATCTCGTAAGCCCCAGAAACTCAATTATCTTAACACATAATGGATACATACAATGGAGCTACAGACACCTGCCTTCTATGGATGGTCTGGCAGAAGACTGAGTAAATTAGTTAAATGCCCTGTACATGAAGTCATTTGACATTTCCTACTATTGCCAATTTGTGGCAAAGTTTTCTTTAAAGAAATGATTTTGAATAGTCTTTGGCACAGCTTTTGGCCATTTAAAAACAGGATGAAATACCTAACCATGCCAGCATGCTCAGTGTGTTGGTACTTGTCCAGGTTTGCCTCCAGACACAGAACAATCAGGGTTCGCAGGCTCAAGGAGTGCCCTGCCCAAGGTTGAGCAGCTGTAGGCCTGTCAGTAGACACAGCCGGACCTCTGCCTCTTCTAGTATTTTGAATCCAGTTTATAATTTATTGCCCTTCTGCAACGTGGACCACAAGTCAAACTTTCTCTCCAGTTAGTATAACTCTTTCCCATCCCTCTCAAATATAAATACAATATTTCCAACAAATTTTAATGAGGTAATATTTGTTACTATTTATGGGTGATATTATATGGACTTGGAGTGTTGGTGAGATTTCTGATGTTGAAATGTGCTATGGAAGACCTTCGGGTCGTCAGCACATATAAATCTGTTGCTAAAAATCGTTATGCTGTTGGGAAAATTACACTGAAAGTATTATCATTGGTATGTTTTGTTGCCCTTCATAATAAAATAAGAACATTTTAGAGTTGTATTTTGATAAATTCTACAAGTACAGGCTCTATATAATCTTTCCCTGCCTACCAGAGGAGGTCTATTAGGGGTTAATTGGAGTTTTCAGTTGTGCATGGTATTTATAGAGGATAGGCACAACATTGTTACTCTTACATATTGTTTGATTTGAATAATTTATCACTTTAGAAAAAAACTACCTAGATATGATTGTAATATCCAGTCCCTGATTTGTTTTTTTTTACATTAGACTGCTTAAAAATTACTGCTTACAAATGTATTTTTAATTTAGAAACAAACGTGCTTGTTCGATGGAAATGTGAATTTCCAGAAGATGGGTAATTCCCTTTCCACAATTCTGACTGAACACGGTGCTGGGTCTTGGCAAGGGCAGCAGGTTTTCAGTCTCCATAGGAATCCCTCTGGGTCCCGACCGGTCGGAGCTACCCAGCTCTGGCTCCGAGGCGCCAGCTGCCACAGTCAGCCGGAACCCTCCAGGTTCTGCCACTTTACCTTCCGAGCCACCTAGGAGTCTTCACCGTTCTACCGATCCGAGGTTCCCAACTTCTAGTGAGGGAGCACTTCGAAATTCAACAGAATTTAACAGACCCCCCCCCCCCACACACACACCGTCACCCAGACTGTCATGGCTCTCTGTTTTAAGAATAGAAACCCCAAGAGATTCTGGTAGATTTTGCCTGATGACGGAATATTTTATTAATGACAATATTTGCATACATCTGAATTGGCGCTGCCAGCTAAGTTGTACAGATGGCCTTGCACAAGGACCATCCTCAGGTGCTCCGGGTCTCAGCCCAAGGCCACGCAGCTGCGGCTACTGTAGCCCGAGAGGCCGCAGGTCCAGCCTGCCCACCCAAACGTCCAATTAGGCCGGCTTCCCACGGCCAGTGGGCACATCGCGGTGCACCTGCTGCCCCCTATCGGCCACGCGAACAATAGCCCTACCCCGCCTCGCTCGCTGGAAAAGGCCTCTGAAATAAAAGAAGGTTCCACCACCACGCAGTCGCGGGAGGATTCTCGAAAAACCTGCTTTACGTAGTCTGCAAGCTCCCACTGCCTCGTTTTAACACGGTTGTTCTAACGGGGGGAAGAAGACGTGAGCTCGGGAAGAAGAAAGTGCCACCGCCTCCGTGGGGGAGGGGCGAGAGACCCAGAAGGTTCGATGTACGGTTTCCACCCCCTGTTCAGTCATCTGGCCAGGGCTGAGGGAGAGCGCGTGCCTTCCGTGGGGACCAGCACATTCGTTAGAGCACAGGTTGTTTTCCCCAGCTCTCAAGCAGTTGCCTCCCCCATTGCACCTTGAGCAGAGTCCAGTGACCTGCTACAGAGGTGACAAAGGCCACCCGCCCCGATAATCCAGCCTCAGAGGTGTCCAAAAGTAGGTGTTATCACTCCAAGTGCCTGTCATGCAAATACAGATGTATCTCAAGGGAAAGCTTTAAATCCTGAGCACAAGCCCCCGGCACCACTGGCGTCTGCACTGTGTGAATTCTGTCCTAGAATTGAATATTTAAAATTTGCCTCCACTTGGACACAGCCGAGACTGCTGGCGGCTTGAGAGCCATGAGCGCGCGTGGGGTTACACTCTCGGGTGTTTCTAATTTCGTTTTCATTATTTTCTCCCACTTCATTACCACCCTCCTCCCAGTGCACACGCGCTTGGCCGTATTCTAACTTGTTCGCTCATGTCCATCTTTGCCTTGGAGCTTTTTTGGCAAGAAGGTAGGAGAGAGATGGACGGAGGTGAGCGGGAGATGGGAGGGCGGGGAAGAGGTAGAATCAGCTGGCAGCCCCGAATGTGTTGGCGTAGGTAGGGGACTAAGGCGGAGGCTCCTCTGGGGGTT